CAACCGTTGCATACTGGTACACGCGTAAACTGGTTTGCCGTTGTGTTTTATTCGAAAAACAAAGTAATTATACGTAGATAAACCATCGTGGCCGCTGGTCAAACGGAATGTGTTAAAAACGTACAACAATGTCAGGCCGCGTGCGGCCTTATCAATGGCCAGAGAAATTATAACTTTCAGCCATCGCTCTATTAGTTTTATATCGCGTTATTGCTCACGCAGCGACCGCCATTAGACTAATTGCGTTTAATTGTCCAGCTCCCGTTTCGATTGTTCGAGGAATGATACAACATGGTCTATTAATGGACTAGATAACTTTCGTGCGACGCGAATTTTATCAAAAGTCAAAAGTTGCTTTTAGATTTTTAGTTTTACTCGAGCGATCTATTTTTGTACTTCTAGTTTCTGCGAAATAAAAGTTAGATTTCTTTCAAAATAAAAAGAAAAAGAGAATCGTTTCACGATCGATATTTCACACGTAGTTTAAAATACGATTAAACAAATTTGGATGCGCTCGTTTTGTTAAATTGAGGACACAGTGAAAAGGAAACTGATTGTTTAAAAAGAACTAGTTAACATACGGAATTCATACATATTTAGATGGGAAAATACAGAAATAAGTTTGGCACCTAATTTAGCTCTGTGTAACGATACGATCCGTCGTTTCCCAAGGAAGCGCGTGAGTCAGATGCAACGGAACTTCACCGTTTTTACATTTCGCATTACCATAACCTTTCGAAACCTTCCGAAAGTTTTATCGCCCATACCTCCCGCTATTGTATAACTAGGTTGTAACTACAGTTAGCAGAACTGCGCTGAAACGGCGCGCCGCTATCGACTGGTATTATCAAGTCAAGGACTACATTTTTGCATGCACCAATTACGGTATCCATGTCTGACATACATCACTCAGTGACGAATATTGAGAGCTACACACGTGTACCTATATAGAAACGTATAGACCGTGCAACGAAGTTCAAAACTTCGTACGTACGTACGTATGTACGTACGTTCGTGTCGCTTCAAAATCCACAGTAGAATTAGAACTGTCAGCCATGGTCAGACATAGTCTCCAACCACCTTTGCGTAAATCTCCATTCGATATTCAAAGTTGCTCGTTCTTTTCGATTCATAATGCTCGCAAGTTGATTTCATTGCGAGCACTTTTAACAAGGATATGTTAACGTACTTTAAATATTGTGTAACGTAGTTTGAAATAGAGACAAGCGTTTTAGTCTTCCAATAGCCACGCGTACGACAACACGTCTTATTACGAAAACAATTTCAATAAAAATTGTGTCTGCCGGTTTGCCAACGATTTACATAAAAGTTTACATGAACCACGAAGGAGTCCCGTCACCCCGTACGATTTCAACGCGATTCCAATCGTGCCGGGACGATCCATCAGCAACATAGTGGCGAACAGCTGGCCCGGGGATCCGAGGGCGAGAGAGAGAGAGAGAGAGAGAGAGAGAGAGAGAGAGAGAACGTTCTCGAGGAGATCGCGACTCGAATCGGTGGGAGCGTTTTCATTTAGACGTAGATTATTCCTAGATGCCTCTCTCATAAATATTAAACAGGTATCGCGCGCGCACGCTCTCGGATTCACGCAGGCGAAACGTTGCCGGTACTTTTTACTCCGGAACCTTGTCCCGGCTGCTGTGCCCGCCGCCTGTACCCCTTCGCTGTCCCGTCTTCCCTCCGTGTTCCTCACGCCCCTTCGTCCTACGGCGACGATCTGTCGCTCATTGAGTATGCATCGGCGATATCGACAGGCGAGGGGCTGTTACCAGCGAGAGCGCCTCGCCGTTTCGCCCTGGGCGACGCTCGGAAGCCGTTGCTGGCCCCGGCAACATCAACGACGCCAGCAACGAGGTCATCCTCTATCGTTGGATGGTTCGCGCGCGACCACCGGCTGACAGGAGTAATTTTTGCACTCGCGCGGGGCGGCCATTCGACGTGCCCGCGTAAAACCACTCGCACACAAGCAGAGACGTACGCACGTTCGCTGGAGGATGCTGGAGGGAAAGAGATAACCGTAGCTTGCCACCGTGCCGTTTCAGTGGCCATCGGCGTTATGCCCGCTTCGCACACGCCGCCGCCTTTCTTCTTCTTCTTCTTCTTCTTCTTCTCCTCCTTCGTACATTCTTTTATTGTACCTGTTCCCCTTCTTCTTCTTCTTCTTCTTCTTCCTCTTCGTCGTCGTTTCGTGCCTCTCCTACCCCTGAGTCGTGTACTTAGGTATTCCGTCGCAAGGCGGTGCCGACTCGTCACGCGCGTTTGCATACATTTCGAGCCGCAGCTCGGTACGCTCTTTTTGCCCTGAATTCTCGCTGCCGTCCGGCCACGGATGTCCCGCCGTGCATCCGTGCGGCTAGACTGATTACGATAATCGATGTCCGTAGCGGTCTCTTCTCGACAGAACGAGTAGGCACTTTATTTACAATAGGCAAGTCCGTCTCGTAAGTAGACAGTTGCACGTCGAACGACGTGCCACCGTTGTTTCTCGCTGTTTTCCAAAGCGACAGAACTCGTCTTACAAGCAGCCCGCAGCGTTTCCCCGCGTGCAAGAACCAAAGATACCCACCCTACCCTGCGCGCCGAAGAATCTACACCTGCGTCGCGCTATGACAACCGAGGATACCGAGGTTGCTGGCTCGCGCGAAAAAACGCGGACGTAACTCGCCAGCCGAGATATCTCGCGAACAAAAGCGAGCAACCCCGTTGTTCCAAGCCGCCCTTAGATGCCTGCCGTGTTCTTCTTCTTCGTATGCCGCGCGCGTCACGCTAGCTGTAAATATCAATAAACAGCAGCCGAACGGCAGCGGGCAAATGCCAGGAACCCGACCTCGGCAACGAAATAAACCACGCCGGGATGAACGTTTTAGCGCTGGCTCCTTTGTCGGGCGCCATCTCCTGCGCGCAAGCACGCTCCGCTTTTTCACCGAGCAATTAGAAAGAGATTTATTCGCGCCGACACGCCAGCCACACGCTCGCCGACAGGACTGGCCGCGAGGAGAAGCCAAGTTCACGATCAAGTTCGATTAGTTACGCAGTTTAGTTGATTTCGGCTAGATATCTCCATCCGTTTTGCACGGTGCGCAGTGTTGCTCGTACGTTTCGTACTCGCGTACGCGTATTCTTAACCGCGACGAAAACACGCGGAGAACCGCGAGTTTTCCAGCGGAGCGATTCCCCTTGCCTTGCGTGAAACGTGAAACAATGCCGGCCGCGAGTAGCGTATTTCTTTCGAGGTTAGACCGAGCCCCGCTGTTGCGGTTTTAATGAACTCGTTTTGACGTGACGACGCCTCCCCTTGTCCCCCTTTTCTTTCTTTCGCTCTCCCCATCTTTCTCCCCGTCGTTCTAGCCGCCTCGTCTCTCGCTCCTCGCCCTCGCCGCTGGCCTCCGGGCTCCGTGCTTCACGCAGCCGACTTAGTTAATTAAAGTAACCGTACGGTTTTTGATTGACGCCCAAGGCGTAAAAAGTCGTGGACTTCGCGCACATACTCGGCACCCAACACGCTCGCCTGCGTGGGTTACGCAATGGCCGATCGCCGAGGGTTGACGCAGAAGCATCTTCTCCGATGATATTGACGAGAGATTGATAAGAGTTTACAGCCTCTTTCGTGAATTTTTTCATAGCAGCAGGCATCGTTTGCGAGGAAAAACGAAATATTCCACAAAAGAATTATTCTTTCGTAGAATTTAAAAAGTCATTCTCAAATGAAACGTGTCCGTAAACTTTGACATGATCGACGTTCAAAATTAATTTGTAAGAGTTGCGACGATATTACTCCGTATTACGTGCAATCGTCGTAAAAAGATCTATTTAACATAGAAGCTTTTCCGACTCTCGATTTCCCGGAAAGGGGAAGAACCATATAAAACGTTACGTTGGCCTGGTAAAAAACGCTTCCTGAATTTTTTTTCCTCCTTCAAACGCGCAGGGTTAACGCGCGCCGTTTGCCTAGCTGCTGCTGGCAAAACACACGAAACGCAGTTCCCCGCGCACGGCGTCGGTAGCCGCCTCTCTCGCTCTTTGCGTTCGCGTTCGCCTAGCCGAGCTGAGCTTACGTAAGATTGTGGCAACGCGTCACGTGCACGCGGCGCACGTACAGATCGCGCCAAGACACAAAAAAAAAAAAAGAAAAAAAAAAAAGAAAAATACCGCATGTGCAATCCTAACAGCGGTACAGGCGCATTAGTATCCGCCGCACAGGCCGAACTCGACGTTCCGCGCGGCGTGTGTAGGTCGAGAGACAGGCAAAAGAAACGATAAGTTACGAAACCAACAGTTCCTCTCTTCTTTTTCTCTCATTTTTATCATCCTCGTTTTTCTTTCGTTCGTTCCCCCCGTCGTCCTTCCACGTCGGTTTTTAATCCGGTAGCGCGACCGTGCTGCCACGGTATTATGCAGATGTATTATTCCTCCGTAGCGTGGCCGAACACGAGTCGAAAGCCGCGCGCAGCACAATGTATCCTTCCTTCATCATCGATATATCCGTTCGGTTGCTGTACCAACGTCGATAAAGCCCCTCTCCTCTCGCTTCTCGGTGTCTGCATGCGCCTTGTCCCTCTCGCAAAATATACACGCGTATACACCGAACTGAACAAGCGTGTATCATTACGCTCGGTGCGTACTCGCAGAAATTCATATCGAACTCTGTAATTATCGGATGTTTGACGGACGGAAGGACAGCGGCAACAGAGACAGTGAAAATTGCTGGTCTCTGGACGAGCGCAACAGTACACACCACGTCTCGGTCCACGTTAAATAGTACATCAACCTCGTGCCGCGATGCAGCACTCTCCTCTCTTCTCCTCTCCTCTCCTCACCATCGTTTTTCTCTCTTTCTCCATCCCTGGCCGCGTGTTTCTTCCTTCGTTTTTCTCCGCCGATCTCTCTTCTTCGATCTCTTTCACCGATCGCTACTGACAACCCGCGAAACGAGTTTCACCTGACCTGACCGTCGCGCTCGTTGGACTTTTTTGTTGCAGGTGAAAATCTGGTTCCAGAATAGAAGAAGTAAATACAAGAAGATGATGAAGGCGGCGCAGCAGGGCGGCGCTGGCGGCGGAGGGCAACACGGCAGCCTCCTAGCCGGCGGAACCGCTTTACCCGGAGGACCATCCCCTCAACCGGGTCAACCAGGAAGTCTCATGCAAGGAGGTACGCTCGTACATAACGATTAATCGAACGAGGGAAAACATTCCCATTTTCATTCTCGCCTTTCAAAACGTTCATCATTTTCATCGGCCACTGAGAAAATACGCGCGCAAAGTGTTTCCGGTTAATTACCATTCCGCGTTGCAAGGATCGAACATGTTCTACGGCTTTCAAGTTGAACGAAAATATTTCGCACGTTGGCTAAATTAGGTTCGATTTCTTTGAGAGTCAACAAGTGAAACTCCACGTTATTCACGAGTCGGGACGTGTAAATCAATTAGAGAAATCGAATTCGTGCCAGTGATTTAAAAGTGAATTAAAATTTAAGTCGGTATCGTGATATCATTCCGAGATCTTCCATAAAACGATCCTTAAGAATCCCTATTCCCCCGTCGATTCTTGCATTTTTAACTCGAGTCGGGTTAAGAATTTCCATCCAATTTACCGATCAATTCGCCGTCTTGAATCTTCATCCACGAACCAACCCTCTTTCCCCGCCAATCTCGAGAATTTCCAACTCAATTTCCAAAGATCCGAAATCCCGATTCTCCTCTCCCTTTCTCTCTCGCCGATCCTCGTCAGAGAATATTTCCACAGGATTCGATAAATCAATCCGCCCGCCATTCCCGAGCCGCGTCATGGATCATCCCCGTAACGCGTCAACGGAACGCTCCACCCCCTGGTTCTGTTCCGCTCAAGATAAGTCTATATCTAGAGAATCGATCTCGAGCGTTCTCCGTTACCGTTTCAGGAGGCGGAAGTTCCGTGTCGGGCAGCCCGACGACGGGCTACCTCGGCGGCATGGGTGGCGGCGCAGGGGGTCACACCCCCGGCAGTTCGAGCCCCGGAAGCGAGATGTCGCCTCAGCACAACGAGAGTCCACCCGCACCCTCTTGGCCGGGCGAGATGAAGCACCATCCGCATCCGCACGCGCCACCGCACACCCACCACCACCCCCATACGCCTGGCCACCATCCACCGCCACCGCCGCCGCCGCCGCACCACGCGGGTTACATGCCACAGTACTCGTGGTACCAAGCGGATCCTAATCCCGGACTACTCACGTAAGTACCACGTCTGTCATTCGTTCGATCGCTTTGTTCGACTAATCGACCAAACGACGCACAATGTTCAGGGGCCGATAGACATAGTCCGTGATTGAAACGAATGGAAGATATTTGTTGCAAGATACGTCTCGCGTTATATTATACGGTTGTACCATTTGGAACGAGTAATGGGAAAATAGAATAGCAGTACGAATTTCAGAGCAGAGATCGTTTGAACAGTTCGAAACAGTTTAAACAGTTTGTCTATTATCTCTAACGATCCTCGACGTCCGAATGTGACTTCCGGATTTTTATCGACAGAAGACATTCCCGGTATTTATCAGGAGGCGGAGAACGTCGTTCCGCTTCAATTTTCACGGAGGACGGGCACGAAGGGCTGGATTCTAATGGCTCGTTCGTCTGTCGTATTTTTTCAGGGTGTGGCCGGCGGTTTAACGAAGATGTCCTTCGAGCTGTGTTCAGGAGGAATCGCTTCTTCGTAGCACCGCGGACGTGCCAGCGCCCCTGCCCCAAAGTGTGAATACGTATAGCACCTGTCGCGATGGAATTCGCGTTCGATGTTAATAAATTCTATTCCTTAACGAGAGCCGCGTGTTCACCGGACCGGTTTTGCGCTCGACCCTCACGGGTCCCGGACGGGTCGTTCGTCGTTCCGACAAAAATCGAATCGATCGCGACGATGGTATCGTAGATCGTCCGAGAGATTTTCGCTGAAATGTTTCGCGATAGAAAATCGAGATCACTGACGATTACGCGTCATGGGTGTCAACGTTCGCGTCGATGGAATCGGCACGGAAACGTCCGTCGACGAGGACGAAGCCGGTCTCGTTTTACCTGAAACGATCGACGTGAGGGCCCAAAGATCGCACGACACATGTAACGGCGACGCAAGAATCATCGACTAGATATGTATAGCGGAAGATCGACGGCAGATCGTTCTCCTCATTCGCCTCGCGAGCTTATCGATCGTTCATCGTCGTCGAACGCACGAAACCAGGCAAAACCAGTTGACGATCGGCCGATCTAACCGTGACTGAATAATGACTGAATAATCGCTGGTGTTTCAACGATCGCGAAACGATTTACACGATTGACCAGACGACAGTTTCCATAGTGGCATCGTTAAATGTCAAGACAGCAGGACGATTCTCCGTGACAACTATTGGCGAACGACTGTCCATCGTGGTTCTCGCGCGTAGACCAAGAACCAACCATTTTCGCCAATCGAAAGATTGTTTTCGCGTTCTAAACGATTCGCAACGATTCCTCGGTTTCCTTGGTAAATGTCAATCCGGTTGGTAGATGACGTTAGATCGGTCGATCCTTCGTGACAGTTGCCCAACCGAGGCGGCTGACCCACTTCGTGCTCTGGAAGCTGGATCTCGTCGGATCAAACGGCGTCAGAGCGAGAAGAGAGCAGAGAAGGCGGAGAAGAGGCAGAAAGAGTAACCGCGAAAGGGGACAGAAAGAAGGACGAACAGAGACGAGACGAGGAGGTGAACAGAGATGGAAAAAGATGGATGGATCACGGGGAACAGAGAGAGAGGGACATTGCACAAACTCGTCGTCGAGAAACAGTCGTTCCTCAAGGCGGTTGGGAAGTAATGAAATCCTAATGACATTTTCGTGAGTCAAACGATCTCGGCAATCACGGTGGCGCGCTGTAATCACCGGTCCCTCCTTTCCGGATGAAGCAACCGAACGCGGTGGACCCTCCTCCGAAAAGGAGCGGACGACACGAAGAGATACGCGCGATTTACCACGAAACCCGAGGCCGTGCACAGCCAATGGAAAAAAATCATTATCTCGGTCGACGACGCGACCGACAGTTCCGACAAGTACGCGTTCATTAAATTCGCGAAGAAAACAAAACAAAAAGAAAGAAAAAAAATCGAAACTACTCCGTGAGTGCACGGTCTCGCGTTCGGCGTGTCGACGACGACACATCAAACAAAAATGTCGGTCGAGTTACATTTTCGTCGCGTTATCTCTCCACCATCTCGCGAAACCATTTCTCTCTTCTCCACTCGTACGTACGTTTCCTTGAGAAACATTCCTTCTCTTCCGGGCGATAAATACTTTTGTCGTCCCCTCTGTTCGTAATTCTCTGTCCGACAACCTTCGACCTCGGTGCCTCGAGGGTGAGTGCATCGAGGGCGCAAGGGTTTTCACAGGGGTTTTACGCTGTTTTTACCATTTCCCGTCGGCCATGCTGCAAGTCACCCTTTTGCCATCTTTGCCATCACCGGCCAACGATATACATAGCTAGCTTTCAAAGAGTTGCGCCACAAAACCGCAGGAAAAAAGCAACGAACGCTTGCGGTTTGCAACCAGGGGAAACTGGGAGGGCCGGTGAGCCCCACCGCTGACCCAAATCCTCCGGCGTGTCGGTGTAACAATGGTCGTCTCATGAGAACGCGGTCTCGCACGGTCCCTTGACTTCCTGATTCTGCCCTCTTTTTCACCTCCGCAGATGCCAATTCCGTTCTGTCCGACACAACCAACGCCGAAGGATCGCGAAACTTTCGCAAAAAGCCACGTCGAAAAAATCTCCCACCCATCCCCGAAACTCTCTGTTTCCCAATCCTCCCTTCGACACCTTCTTCTTCCTTTTCCCCTCCTCTTCAAACGTTTACTTTACCTCGATTTCATTCACATCGTCCTATACTTCAGTGACACTCGACGACTTCAAATTCCACGCGAACGTAGAGAGACGCGAAGAGACCCAGAGTTGTCGTTCCGACAAAGTTACGTTTCGTGTTTCCCCGGCGCGCGTGTAGTCCCCGTTAGAATATTTCCTCGAGCGCGCTCGAGCTTTCCCATCGTGAAACTCTCGACATGGGAACAGAGTACAAAGCCAGTTTCACGCCGCTGGACATCTGGAGCCATCGCGTGTTACATCGAAATCCGCGCGCGAGAGAGTGAGAGAGAGAGAATCAGCCTGAAGCTAGGCGAACGACCGGCGACGAGCAAGATCCACGTCGACATGTTTTCTCTCCCCCCCCCCCCCTCATCCCTCTTCCCATCTCGTCTGCCCTTTTATCACGGTCGAAATTTTTCCCATTGTCGCCCGGTCTTTGCTCGTCGTAGTCGCGTTGATGGCTGTTGTCGTCGTCTCGACAATCACGGACACGGCGTTCACGCCTCGGATTCAGCGCGACGACGACGACGACGAGAGATGACGACTACCGATTCCCTCCCGTGTGTGCACGCGGAATAAGTGCCGTTAGATTGCGAGGCTACGAGGCGCGGAACGGTGACGGGCAAGCGGTTCTTTAGCGGTTTAGATTCGGTGCAATAAGGAGGCGTGTGCGTGTATAATTTAAGACGAAGCTCCCTCAGTTCCTAAATTGCGTGTAGAGCGAGTGAAAGAAAAAAAAAAAAAAGAAAATGAAAAACAGCGTAAAACGATTCGATTCGAACGCGGCGACGAAAACCTGGTGGACCGGCGAGAGAGCGTTTTGCCGGGCGATTCTCGCGAGCGCGCGGGAAACACGCGCCTCGCGTGGTCCGTTACTTCGATCTCTCTCTTCGTCGTGAGATTGCCGACAGGGAAACAGAGAAAGGAGAAGCAAAACGGGTAAAAGGAAGAGTAAAATTAAAGAAAGAGAAGGACGCGCCCTGCGACGATGTGTCAGTCACCGAGCAACAGCGGACGCGTAACGTGTTTTGCAGTTTAGCTTTGTCACGCTTTCGTCGAGTTCGCGGTATAATGGAAAACGTCGGCCGAGGACGAGCGAAACGGACTTCAACGCGATGGAAAACGAAGAAATGTAACCGAGTGACGCGAGCATCGCGCGGAATAAACGGAGGAGAAGATGAGAGAAGTTCGTTGGAGACGAAGCAGAAGAGAGGAGTCCGTAGAATTTACTAGCGTTACTAGTCCCGGTGCAAGCAAGCGGGGATCGAATCAACCGGCGTGAAACAGATTTATAAATGATCGATCCCTTCTGGTGCGTGTAAATACTGCATCGGGGCCCAGCCCTGTTAGCACGTAAGCCGTAAAAACAAGTGAAAAAAAAATCTGTGTAAAATACGATATTGTGATAAGATGTGTAAAGATACGAGAGAGCAAGAGCGAGAGAGAGAGAGAGAGAGAGAGAAAGAGAGAGAGAATGGAAGCCAGAAATCGTCTATATACATATAGGTTAATAACAACACGGCAGACCCCAGTTTATCAATTTTATCGAGTACCCTTGTACGAATATTAGATATTACGAGGACTAAAATACCTTAATTATGATTACTATTGTATAAAATATGAATAATAACTAATTAATTCAATTTAATTCGCATCGTATTTGTACACGTACTTATTCTATCACCCCTATTTACGATTTCACGAGTTGTCTTTCTTTTTTTTTTTTTTTTTTTTAAATACGCTACGTTTAAAGTAATAGAGGTGTTTGCAAAGTGAACGTTGTGTTCAATGGTGTTCTATAAATTATCGCGTAAAATGGCAAATGAAACGCGTGTTTCACGAGCGTTTCTGAGGGACTGCAACTGCAGAACGGAGTGTTCCAATGTCCTGACGGTAGGTACGAGTTCCTTTTTCTTTCCCTTTTCTCTTTGTTCACCGGTAGCGGACACCACCTGCCGCTGTAGAGGCGGCGTACGCATGCTCTACTTTTATGGATAACTGTACTCCTCTATCTCGTTTAAAGCGAAGCCACCGACTATTCCGTATCTTCTACACGGTGTCTTCGAAGAGTTGGAAAACTTGCGAAACGATCAATATTTCGTAATCAAGTGCTCTCTAGCAATAATCTGACGACAGACTATATTCTTGACTGGGAATATCGTTCTCTATTCAACGATGTTCCACCTCGCGACCTTTTTTTTTTTTCTAAATAAGGCTAAGAAAATAACAATGTGAGTCAATGCCATTTTGTTTTTACTAACACGGAAGGTTCGGAAACAGCTTTCGAAACAGGGGAACGGAGATTGGAATTTTTTTCCGCGAGTCGCCTGGTCGACTATCGTCGGCAGAAGGAGCGAATCGATCTGACCGGCGTCTATTACAATCCTGTTCGGGCTGATCGTAATAATCGTGACGACGCTTAATAAGCCAATTAGCCATCCGACGATTAAATCGTTCGTTTATCTGAATATTGATTTTTCGCGAGACAAAGGCCACTCTCTCCCCGACAAAAGCGGCCATGTTCCGCAGGCACTCAGTCGTTCGCTACGCGCGACTACGCTTGCTCGTCCGTGCGGGACCATCGGCAGAAAAAGGTGTACCGATGTTCCGATGAATGCGGTGTGCGCGCCTCGCCGCGGTTTTCCAAACGTAAACTTATACTCGGTGAAAAGGAAGAGAGAGGAAAAGAGAGAAGAGACAAGGAGGAAAAGGAGTGAGAAGAAAGCGCGTGGAAATCAGACAGAGAGAGAAAGAGAGAGAGAGAGAGAGAGAGAGAGAGAGACCACCGTGGCACGACAATGCAGCGGCATAAAGTCTCACAAGACGCACGGGGAAACCTTGCAACCGGGGGGACAAAAACCTATAATGGACACAATGGTCGATGGATCTCGACTGTGGGCCTTCGACTGGAAGGCGCCGGTATTCATTGTGGTGTACCTTCGAAAAGATTATGTCGAGTGGATGTTTGCTTCTTTTCGTTTCTTCAGTCACCACTACGCTCTTTCTCTCTCTCTCTCTCTCTCTCTCTCTCTCTCTTTTTCTCTTTCGTTCAGCCTAGCCGTTGGAACTTCAAAATTATCGTTCGTTTCCCTCTGGTAAGTTGTCCAGTTCTGGTAAACATTGTTTCCACAATGTGTCGAGAAACATAGATTGGCTTTCGATCGATCGGCTCGAACGATCTCGTCTCAGAGATTCGATCGACGCGCACCGGTAGATTCTAAACCAACCTGTACTTTATATCAGGTCTAACGAGTTCATTGCATGTATGCCACGTTATCACACTGTATTAGCCGCTCTGCCTGCCTGTCGATTTTGTCCTTGTATCTTGCTATATCATCTGTACGATAGAGCGGATTTATGGCGACACGATTTGCATACATTCGACCGGTAGCACAATTAACACGAGATAAACGAGCCAAGCGGTGAAGGAGGAGGAAGACCGGCGAGATCGGACGTATTTTTCCACGGGCGAAAAACGCACGATAAAAGCAATACGATCAACTGCTGATTATCTTAGTCGCCGAGCTAACGAGGAAAGGATAGTTAAATAATAACAACCGCTTCCGTCTAATCAAATACGCGTCGAAGATCGCATTGCAGACAAACAATTGGGCAAAGCCAGGCCTTCGTACGAACCAGCTCGTTTAATTCAACTTCCCTCAACATCCCCTTATTCTATTACCCGAGGCCTACCAACCCACCCCCCTCCCTTCTCCTCTTCCGCCTCTTTAATTGCATTCCCAAAGATGAGATCCGAATCTAGAGCGCAGAACAAACAGGAGGCGAGAGCAGAAAATTAAACTATTAAAGTGCTCGAGAAACTTAAGTATCGCGCATCACGATCATCTTGGCTTCAACCGAACGTACGTATGTACGTAAGTGAGCGAGAGGAACGCGCGGACTTCGTGTAGTTTCCGCTTTATCGTGGCCAGCGATCGCGCCACCCTAAGCTAAGCAGATTGCTCGACTTCGGATAATTAGCATTTAAATTCGCTGGTCGAATTTTCTCGGGTCAGGCGAGATGAAATTGAAACGTATCTCGAAAGTAATCGAGAGTCGGCAAATTAGAAAAATACGAGCCACCTCGTAATAGTGATCTACGAAATTTGATTGAAAACCATTTAAAATTTTTTACTTTTGCAATTATTTCTGAATTTTTTGAATAATATATTCCGAGCCAAGTGAATCGCTGATGACAGATTCGAGTCTTCGAGTTCAAGGAGAATATCGAAAATGGAAAAGAAAGACTGAGGCGACAATACGTCGACGATAGGTGCGATACGAGAACCCACACGCGTGATACACGATGATAGTGGATATAACGGAGCAGGGACGGGAATTAGTATCGTGCAGGGGTCAGGAAGAACGAGCTACGGCCTGCTAAGACGGCGGACGATATCGAATAAACAAACGAACGAGTGGGAGGCGGAGGAAGTGGCGGATATTAAGGTCTTCGTGACGGAACTTGCCTCGTATTATAGCGAGCTAAGTGAGGAGGTCTCCTCGTCTGGTCGAACTAATTCTATTACTTCGTCCCTTCCTTCCACCACCATACGCTCGCTTCTATCTAACCGTGGATCATCGCTGTTAGACGACTATCTTTCGCTGGATTGTCTTTGGTACGATGACAACCTCGGTGACAAGCTGCTGATAAATGTGCCCTTCGTTTCAATCTCGCGGTGGATTCGATTACGAAAGGGTTGCGCTCGAGCCGCAAACTTTAAGGAAGCTTCCGCTTACCAGCACGACACGAAGCTTTCCCACAAGCTTCTAATCTGCGATGTGAAATTAAAAGAATTTCGCGATCCAAATCAAATCTTCGTCTCGATCTTTCTCCAGCGAACTCTGCGTTACGCGGGAATCGTGGCTGAACTCTTTGGGAAACTTATCCAACAAAGATAGATCACCGTCGACTGATACGAAGTTTGGCGAATTGAGAAATCTGAATCTCTACGTCGCAAGGAATTCCCACGTTGCTCGCAAAAGATCATCCAATGCTAGACAATGTGTTCATAAATTGAAGTCAATGGTGATCAAAGTTAATCTTAGCAATTTTAAAAGCCTAAATTTCCAACGCGATGATAATTTCCATGTCGCGAGAAATCCCCGTTTCTCGCTCGCGGGGCAAAAGAATATGCTACGGGGACGATGTCCGTAAATTGAAGTCAATGATGATCAAAGTTAATCTTAACAATTTTAAAAGCCTAAATTTCCAACGCGATGATAATTTCCATGTCGCGAGAAATCCCCGTTTCTCGCTCGCGGGGCAAAAGAATATGCTACGGGGACGATGTCCGTAAATTGAAGTCAATGATGATCAAAGTTAATCTTAACAATTTTAAAAGCCTAAATTTCCAACGCGATGATAATTTCCATGTCGCGAGAAATCCCCGTTTCTCGCTCGCGGGGCAAAAGAATATGCTACGGGGACAATGTCCGTAAATTGAAGTCAATGATGATCAAAGTTAATCTTAGTAATTTTAAAAGCCTAAATTTCCAACGCGATGATAATTTCCATGTCGCGAGAAATTCCCGTTTCTCGCTCGCGGGGCAAAAGAATATTCTACGGGGACGATGTCCGTAAATTGAAGTCAACGGTGATCAAAGTTCGAATTCGGTGATCCAAAGTCTGCGAGGGAGGAACGGCGAGAAGGGTGGCGACGGGCAGAACCAAAAAAAAAAAAAAAAAAAAAAGAAAAAGAGGAGGAAAAGTTAAGGGAGGAAAGTTAGAGATGGTTGGAGCAAGAGGTGGTCAGGTTGGGGTGCCAATTTGCGATTCCACGCAGCAAGAAGGGCGTGGCGGCTCGCGCATAGGGTGGCTCGCTCGTTTGTGCGACATTGTCGGGCAACCCTAACCTTCTGGCTGGCCCCTGCCATCTTTCTCTCGGCGAGCCTCGCTCGCGTTAATCTCATAATTCTCTTATGTGGATGGGAACCAATGAGTTCGGCCTTGGAGGCCGCAACTCGTGAAAACGATGTTTATGAAGCGAATGAAAGCGACAACAGTGTTGCTTTCACGATGATACGGCGAGCTCTTTTATGAGATTATTGGAACACGTGCAGCTAATCGTTAAAATCTAGTGAGGATATATTAATAAAATATGTAGCTGAGAACCGTTCGATTTTACTCCAAGATTCTATCGTCAGACATTTTACTGTTGAGATCGCTAATTGCCTCGTTCTATTTCTATCCAAAAAGGAATTTCTAATTAAGCAATTTAGTCTTTCTTCGTTAACGTATAATATTAATTCGTAATGAGACGGTTCGCGCATTCGTTCGAGCTTCCATACATTTGTACCTCACGTGCTAAACGCTTTTTATGCTCTCGTATTAATTTACAAATGAGAAATATTGAATATTTCCTCGATCGGCTGATACATATTCGCCACAGCAGTTTGTATTTCTAGAAATATCTTCGCCGGCATATCGCCAATTCATTAATAAATTGGAATAGCAATGATGCGGAAGGTAATATCTCTATGTAAATCCGAGTAATTCTATGCGACTTGAAAAAATGCGCGCATGCCACAATAAACTATCTTTTCTCGAGTCATGCGAATATTTCTCCGCGACATATTACGAATGCTAATACACATCCCCCCCCCCTCTCCCTCGTAATCGATCGCTCTCCATCCAAAGTTAGAAAA